GTTTTGGGGGTTTTTTGTTTTGTGGGAGCCATTATTTCCTTTTCTTCTTTCTTTACGATGCGTACGCTTTGAAATTTAAAAGAGAACTGATGAAAATGTATGTAAAACGTTGACCTTATATATGATTTCAATGGCGGGAAACAAATAATGGGTAGGGGAAGAACATTATGAAATAATCTTAATTATTGCTTGATATTCTTACTAACATTTAATAATATTAATTTTATTAGCATTGTTTGTATTTGTTTTATTAAGTTTGAATCCTAATTTATCTAAAACTAATCATTTTCATGGTGAAAACCTGAAAAATTCATCATTTTAACAGAATTTAGAGGGGAAATTCAACGTTTTTGTTAATTAACAAAAACGTGGTGGAAATTTTTTAAAACTTTCTCAAAAATATGTTTGATTAAATGAAATGCTTCATGATCACTCTTATAAATTTTTTTAATAAAAGTTCGGGAAAAAGCTTAAAACTCGTTAGAATAAGATTTTATACGAAATAGGGGAAGGAAAAAAAACCTATATAAGAAACACATTTTCAGTGCAAATATTCATTCGAGTTTTAAACTTCAACGTGAAAGCAACTCTCAAATAAAAAGAAGAAAACATGACTGGTCGAGGAAAAGGAGGCAAAGGTTTAGGAAAAGGTGGTGCTAAACGTCATCGTAAAGTTCTTCGTGATAACATCCAAGGTATCACAAAACCAGCAATTCGTCGTTTAGCTCGTCGTGGTGGTGTCAAACGTATTTCTGGGTTAATTTATGAAGAAACCCGAGGCGTCTTAAAAGTTTTCTTGGAAAATGTAATTCGTGATGCTGTTACATACACTGAACATGCTAAGAGAAAGACTGTCACTGCTATGGATGTCGTCTATGCATTGAAACGTCAAGGCCGCACACTTTATGGTTTCGGAGGTTAAATTAATTAACAAAACATCAAACATTCAAAATGGTCTTTTTCAAGACCCCAAAATAATTCGAAAAAGAAATTAAATAATTATTCACTGTGGCACTAAATCTACTGTAACTAATATTTATCAATAAAAAATATATGATGTACTGTAATTAATATTTTTTTAATCAATTCCTTTAGTTTTAAATAAATTCATGTAATTTGATGTTTAATAAATTAAATGTTTTATTCTCAATCGCTTTATTTTTGTT